GCCTTGGAGACCCTGTGGGGCAGTTCCACTCTGTCCTCTAGGGGCGCTGTGGGTCAGAATGGACTCCACGCAGTGGGTGTGGTTTGGGCTTTGCTCCCGTAAGACTGACAGCCTTGGAGACCCTGTGGGCAGTTCCACTCTGTCCTCTAGGGGCGCTGTGGGTCGGAATTGGCTCAACGGCAGTGGGTTTGGTTTGGATATGGGATCAAAGTGTCACTAGAAACTTGACGGATTAGATAGGACCTTGGGGGGCAGTGAGTTTATGTGAACGGGGGCGTGGGGACGGCACAACTTGAAAGCTGGTATCTATGCCACTGTCTTGACCATGTAAGGCTGTTGAGTTGGTGTGTGCTCTGCTGGGTACATTCAACAACAGCATAAATATACTGTGAAGAAAACCAAGAAGTTGTGAGACACATGGCTACCAAGCTGTGGGGAACAGGCACAGCTGAGAGGCCAGGGCCATGTGGCAAAAGAGACAGTGACCACGACATCGCCGCCACCAGTTCCCAGGAGCAGGTCTCAGGCTTCCAGCTGAAGGAAGTCAATACTGCGCGTCAACTGATGGATCACCCTGGTTACCGCTCCAGCCCCTGCCCACTCCCGACCAGACACCACCACGGAGCAGGTGCCTTCAACAGGCAGGAGACAGCTTGGGACAGGGCCTCCAGCGTAAGGACTCAGCTGGGCCCTTTCCGGAACCTCACAGGTTCACTCACCCATAAGATGGGACTGACACAGTAGACAAAATGGGCTTACCCACAGCAACAGCCATCCTGAAGTGGGGTACACCCCCCAACTTCACTACAGGGTGTAGGCCCCCGACTTAATGAAGTAGATATAGGCCCCAGACTTCATGATGGGGCGTTAAGCCCCCCGACTTCATGATGGGGTGTTGTTGTTGTTGTTGTTATGTGTCGTCGAGTCGGCCCCGACTCACAGCGACCCCTCCTTGGGTTTCCGAGGAGGTATCACTACGGAAGCAGGATTGCCCAACCTTCCTTCCAAGGAGTGGCTGGTGGGTTTGAACCACCAGCCGTCTGGTTAGCAGGCAAGTGTCTTAGCCACTATGCTACCAGAGCTCCATTCTCATTATACCTGAGGCCAGTACGAGCCAGGCTGACCCCACACTAACAGCAGAAAATAAACAGGAAAGGCCCTTGGCTGTCCTCCTCCATGGACTACTTTGCACTTCAAAGATGCGCCTCGCTGGCTTCAGGCATCCTGGTGAAGGGGTTTACCCAGCAACCTTTGCCTGTGTCAAGCTCACTTCCCAAAGATCCCAGCCCCATTTCTGCATGTTCATGTCTGTCTTCATCTGTTAAGGGACGTACCTCTGACCTGCAGAGTGTTCACAGCCCATCTCCACGGGCCCAGGGCCACGCAGATGCCAGCTCCTGGGGCACCCTGTAACGTGAGGCATCCGAGCCTAGCTCCATCCTGACTCCGACACTTTTCCAACCAGCATGACACAGCTACCTGAGACTGCTCAAGCCCTGCCTACACCAACCTAAGCCCCAGTCAGACCTGGAGGAGCCCCAGGGGCCAGGTTCAACAGCAGGGCTGCCGTCCCAAGGCTGGCGGTCCCACCGCCCAGCTGCTCCCCGGGTCGGCTGTTCAAACGTCTCCAGAGAAAGGCTCCCGTGAAGATTCCAGTTTAGGAAAGCTATGGGGCAATCCTACTGTCACATGGGTCGTCATGACTCAGAATCCACTCAAAGGCGCCCAACAGCCACTAGGGGCATTCGCGGCTCTTTTCAGATTGTGATCCTGATTCGCGGTGCCGCCGCGTGACTCGGCAGAACCGCCCTGCGGGGGGGGGGGTATCCCCGATATAATCTTTATGAAAGCAGATCGCGGGGTCTTTCAACCACAGGGCCACTGGGTGGGTCTGAACCGCTGACCCTCTGGTTAGCAGCTGAGCTTTTAGCCATCGTACCACCGGGGCTCCTCTTCGTAGCCTCGACCCTAAGCAAATGAACGCGTCCGGGCAGTCCAGGGTCAGACAGCGATCCGTTCCCAACCCTGTCTTTAACTCGAGCATGAACCAGCGTCGCAGTGGTTCGTGTCCACAGTCCCCTGCCTGCGTCGGTCCCGGGATACAGTGTACCTTTCCACGCACAAAAAACATGGACACCTTTCCGGATACTAACATACCTTGAACGTAAACATGCTGCAGTCGTCATGTTGAGGCGCGCGTTGCAAAACAGCACCCGTTTGGTCTTCCAAACCCATGTTGTTGTTGTTATGTGCCATCGAGTGGGACCTGACGCATAGCGACCCCTCCTTGGGTTTCTGAGGCGGTATCACTACGGAAGTAGATCTCCCAACCTTCCTTCTGAGGAGTGGCTGGTGGGTTTGAACAGCCAGCCTTCTGGTTAGCAGTCAAGTGCCTTAGGCACGATGCCACCAGAGCTCCCTTCCGAACCACTGCATGACCTCGAATTTTTAGCGTAATAGGCTTTTCAGGGGTTGGTCTGCTGGCCGGTGTGCACCGGGCAAACCGTTTCTGGGACACGAGCGAAAGGTACCCACCGTCCCTGCTGAGGGCCTCCGCCCCGGGCTCCCACTGAGTTCCGGTCTAGTCCGGATCCCAGTCCCCGGCAGCCAGGCGCGCTGCGTAACGTGGCGAGCGCGCAGCGGGGCCCGGAAGTCGCCCGGGCGCCCTCCCCAGGCCAGCCGGGGTCTCCGCGCTGCCTACCTGGCCGCAGGCCCTGCGGAACTGCCCGTTGTACGTGAGCACCCCCAGCACGGTCCTGGGCGCGGGGTCCGGGCCCAGCGGGGCTCGCATCAGCTGGCAGGCGTCGTGAGCCCCCGAGGCCGGGGCCAGGACTGCGCTCCGGGAGCCGCTGCGCCGCATGGCCGGGTCTCCGCAGGCTGCTGCGACCGGGAAGGAGGAAGGGGCGACCGGTGAGCTGAGCCCCGCGCCGCCAGGCCCCCGGGCAGCTCCGGCCGCGGCTCCTCAGGTCCTGAGCGGCAGTCGGCTCCGCGCCCGAGGCCTGTCCTGGCGACCCCGCTGCGTTTCCTGGGCGCTAAACCTTTACGGAAGTGGCCTGTCCTGTTTTCCTTCCACGCAGCCGCTGGTGGATTCGAACCGCCCACTTTCTGGTTAGCAGTCAACGCCCCAGGCCTAGAACACCTTGTTTGCAGGTCTCCTGCGCCCTGGAGGGTCGCAGGAGCGGCATCAGGGCGGAAAGGGGTCACAGCTGCTTTCACCAAAAGCTGAGAGCAATTCTGTGGCGGAAGATTGGACGGAAAGCCGGGAAGCCAGGCTCCAAGTGACTGGGGGCTGTAAACACACAATAAGGAGCCCTGGTGGGGCAGTGGTCAAGCGCTCGGCTGCTAACAAAAGGTCCAGTCAGAACCCCACAGCGGCTCTGCGGGAGAAAGGCCTGGTGATCGTAAAGACGACAGCCTTGGAAGCGGGTGGGTAGGCTCCGCTCTGTCCTATGGGGTCACCAGCCTACACGCCCAGTCGGCCCCTGCTCAGAAGCTCAGCTCCCCCGCCCCCAAAGCAGGACACCTCACAAAGCAGAGTGGGGCGCAGGCTGCTGCTGAGGCCCCGCCCACACCCAGAGGCCCGCCCCCAACCCGCTGGGAGTCCGCGGGCCCGCCCGGCTCGGCGCTGGTTCGCTCCCCAGCCGCCCGGCGCGGCC